ATGAAAATTAGCATTGATCTCAATGCATACTGCTTTAATTAATTAATCAAAATTTTATCCCGTTGATCGGGATAACCTGTCGGAACTTATAGTTATTTAAGTTTTTGCATCAAGTAAAGATAAGGTGCAAAAAGCCAGATGCAAAAAGTAAGTTATCAACAGCATAGAGCCTTATCATACCGTATGATAAGACTCTATGCTGTTGGTAACTTACATATTGTATTTTGAAATTCGATTACCTTAAAACTTGAAATGGTCTGTTCTGAATTCAAAGAAAGGCCAATCCATTTAAAAAAATTCAGACTGAAATGAATCAAAAGAATTTATTGTGAATCGATTGTAGTCTATGACAAATGTGGCGCCGGCATCGTCGCATGAAAAGTTGAATGAGAAATAAATAACAAATAAACAAAAACCTTACGCCTTAATCACTAATAGGGTGATTTATTTCTAAACTTTTATACAAAGAATTATTTATATGCATATAGAATCATGATAAAGTTTTACAGGAACCCCCGGGTTATGAACGAAATGAAAATACAGTGCAAACAAGGGAACGATAATTTAGAAATAATATATTAATTAAGACGTGAAAACCATGACGTTAACAAGACAACGGAATTATTCCACAACTCGCGGAAATTCCGACGAAGACAAAACATTTTCATATTGCGATGTCTGTAAGTTGGTTTTAGTAATTTATATTCGATGTATATTTTAAATCAACCAGTTATAAGTAAATCTACATCAAAGCTTTTTATAGTTAAGTTGTTTTATTGTTACTTAACTTTTTTGTATATTTGTTTTCAATTAGATGATAGCATAATAAGTTTCAAAACAGTACAAAGTACAAATAATGCATTTTAAAACATACTAATACTATAAGAAATAGTGTCTTTTTACACATTTATCTCCGCCGACAATATTCATCTTTTACTATAATGAAATAATAATGCATCAGCATGCAGAATTGTTGGACCATCATGCGGATACTTCTGGCCGTATCTTTAAATATTTACACTATGAATTAACATCAATGTTTCATATTTAAACAATATATTTTTCTTCGTGTACCAAAGCATCTAATTGAAAGTTATTGTGATGATAATTTGTACGAGAACAGCGACATCAAAAATGCATCATTTTATGTTCATGTTAAATATTTAAATAACGCTTTTCAGGAACAAACTCAAATATGAGAATATTTTAAGGAATAATCAAATAATATTACAATATCAAATGTGCAAGAACTCTCTATTATCTCCCGGGAAAATGGTATCATTAAGAACATTGCTGCAATATTAAAGATTATGTCAATAGCGTTTTGCTTTTAATTTGTAAGAATTCTTTAAATTAATTAATTTGGGTGCCTATGAATTTCAATCAACTTGCATCATAGTTCAAAATGCAACTTTCAGAAAATACTTTAGATATAGGATAACTCTATAAATGTTGCATTACCGTTTGTTAAAATGAAAGAAGAAAAAATACAATATCATTCATATCAAGTTTTCATATGAAGAAAGAGAGATATTTATTCAGGTTAAAACACACATATACATGTAAATAATTTAAACACTAATGTATTTTTATATAAAAGTTATAAACAATTGTAATAAAATATTTCGGAAGTTTGTCACAGGAGTATCGATTCTCTATAGTTTTTAAATACATGTTTTAGAAATAATAATAATTATTTGGAAGATTAAATGCAGATCAAATATTCAATATCAATCTTATTTTTTAAAAGAAAATTATACATGCATTTCCATTTAATTATTTATTAAAAATGAGTTTTGCAACAGAAATTCATTTACTCTATTCTGATGGTATGTGTTTTATAAATAACGTATCTTTATCCCCTTAAAGGCCTATTATGGCCATGAAATGCTTATATTTCTATTTAGCAAAGCTTTTTTTTATTTTATGTATGTTATGGTTTTCCAAAATATTACTTATTGGTCAATTACATGAACCATCATTTTCTTTTGTCGCTTTTTTGCAATCAGGACAATTATAGTGTTTCAGTATTTTGTATGGAAGTAAAAAAACCCAATCTGTTTAAATTTTGCTACTTTTATGACAAATAAGTTCACATTTACACATTTAGCGCTACTTTCATCAATGGCGAGGATCCTACATGCTCTAATACAACTATTCAGACGTCATAAAGAAGGAAAAATTTATTCGTTATCGACGCATAATGTACCTTTAAAGTACATGTGTATATTTATTGTATCATTAATTTCCAAATAGCTTTCAATTAGTCATATTAAACCCGGTAGTTTAAGAAGATTGCTATCGATTGTAGTTCATTCTTATCAATGCTTTAAAAATAATATAGTTGACTTGCCTGTTATTCATGAATGAAGTGTAGTGCATTATCGAAACTTGTTAAATAACGTCTTTAAATATCCCTTTTAAAGATTTACTGTTCAAAGTTAAAGCAGCACGCCTCCAGATGCATGCTTATTTTCATGAACATTTTAAAATGTATAATAAAAAGTAAAATATTGTTAAGTGAACAAAAAATAATTAACACATTGCAAACAGCACTTACAACTAATGTTAACTACCAAAAAGAGGTCAAAATATAGAGAGATTCATCTGTGAACGTGCAGTTTTAACAGCTAGCCGTATGCTTGAGACAAAGTTATCTACTTAATTAACTATCCTGTAACTCAATTTTTTATGGCTTTATATCATTAATACATTGTATAATGCTCAAATAAAGATTTATCAATACTGTAAGTTCCAAAAAGCATTATCTGTAAAGATATTACAGAATTTTTAGTTCATGTTTATAAAGGGGGTAATTAGAAATTTATTTTCTATGTCTAAGTCAGAAATTAATGCATATATTTTAATGATAATATTATTATAATGTGTACAAATATTTGCAGTACATACTATACATATTATTCGATGTTTGAAAATTGTTTTAGAAGCATAATTATATACATATATAAAATTTCACTTAAGTGTGGTAACAACCTTAATTACAACATGCATGATCTTTAAAATTGCGTTTTACGGTAACTCAATTTGGCATTTCTGAGGCAATTTAATAAGATATACTATAACTGGTACTACATATAGATATATAAGCCAATATCTTCATTACGATATATGGTGCAGAACTTTCCGATGGTGTATATAAAAATAAGCCTATAATATATGTACCATTACTTTCACTTTGATAATCCTTGTGCTACTTTATGTCATATGCACGTAAAAGGGCACCTGAGGTCTCCTTCCCCCATCAGTAAAGCTGGAACGTCGCCATTTGACTATATTGTGTCGGTGTAACGTAAACCCCATTCATGCAAAGAAACAAAACAATATTTCATATTTATAAAAAGCAAAGCATCATAATTTTCTCTATCAAATGTTTATTATGCATATTATCTTACGAAAAAGAAACAAACATTGATTAAGCATTATTTGCCGTGTCATAATAAGTGTCATAGAATTTACTGTGTGATCATATAGACCGTTTAAGCTTTCAAGGTGTCTTGTTACTAATTTTCAATCCCGGTTGGGTACACTTATGACAGTTTTATTGTTAAATCTGTGATTAATTCATAATTTATCGATTCCACTTACAATGATTGCAGTACAGAGACATTTAAAAGTGTCATTTTGCTAGACGTTGTCTCAATGCTGTGATAGAGAAAATTTCACTATTCTTTCCATATATAGAAAATATATAGTACCTGCTTATTGGTTATATACCATTATTTAATAATCTTCTGATTATTGGTTATATACTATTATTTAAATCTTCTGATTATTGGTTATATACCATTATTTAATTTTTAAGACAACTTGCTGTTAAATATGTATGGTCTTACGAGTAAATTGAACTAATTGTTACAATATATGTCAATTAAGTTTCAAAGCATTAAATTATCAGTTCATTGTACTCTGTTGAAAACGGCTTTTGATTATTATTATTTTTTTTTTTTGAAAAGTGCATTTTAGTGGATCAGTTTATATTCTATGTTTGTAAATATAACATGATCTGCGTCCTTAAAAACCTATCCTATGATACTCATTTAGTTAGTTTTTATAACGCTAAAGAGCCAGATAGCAAAAGATAACTCCATTGACGTATTACCAGCAATAGTTGACAAGAATGATATAATGAAATAATCAATAAAAGTGTTTCATATAAAATGGGCAAGTATTTGTGAATAAGTCATGCTTCTGTTGCCTTCAGTATTTTGTAATTGTATTTACATTCTCTCCCAAACTTTAGCCGTTAATAAAGTACCATTTATCATCTAATCTGGTATTACAAAATGTGCAAGTGTCTGACTTGATGCCTTGAGAAGAGACATCTACAGGGATCAGATATTGTATAATAAGCAATTACGTTGATCAATATATACATTTGAGAACATCATAAATATTTAATGTACTGGAATATATTAACTCCCTATAGAGTTTCCAAGACCTGTGGCAGTGTCTTAACGCATACGAATATTTATGAAAAAAGTATCAATTATAAACTAACTAGCAACATTGACGCAATTGATTGCATTATTGTAATATCGGATAGCATTTTATGTACACAAAACGTTTACAATCAAGTGGCACTTTGTATTTGCAATTCAAATTGGTTAGAAAAGATTTGTGTTAATAAGAATACATGTATATAAGTCCTGATCCATGCATGTTTATATATTTTAATGAAACCTACCTGATACAAAAATAAATACAGGTCAAATCTTCAAACGCAAGCTTAAAACTGTAAGATATGTTCAGCATAACATATATTTAAGTATCCGAGGTACTTAAAGCACCAATTAAATTATTTTACCGATATTTGAAATACTTATAAAAAATATACTCATTGTAGACCAATCCACTTTAATAAATACGTGTTGAGATTTTGAATCTATTTGAAAGACACTGATACACATCTTAAAATAAGATTTTCACGCGAGAACGAGATGACGTTATTGACGTCGTCACCATGACGTTACATTGCGACAACGTCAAAACAAATCTATCAACGCAAAAAGCCGCACTTCTTCATCGTCTGCAAATTATTGCAAAAACAACATGGAAGTAGAAATTGATACTACAACCAGAAATAGTATTTGGAAGCGTCTGTCAAGAAATATCAGTCAAAGCAAACTCGGAGATTTCGCCAGGGCTGTTAACAAAGTGTTTACAAGCATAAAGATTTGCAGGAAAAATAGTGAAGTCCAAGACCCAATTCCTGTGTCGTCTGATTTTGTTTATCCGAATGACAGATTACTAAGCAACAATGAGATTCTGAGACAGCTTGAGGTCCTAGAAAGAAGATTCAATCAACAGACAGATATTCTTGCCAGAGCTCAAGGTAAAGTAAAATGTTGAAGTGAGTTTAATTCTTTTTTTGATAATGATACTAAACATTTTAGTAATAAAAATAATTCATATATGTATATCAATAACTAAAGTGATGATGATGGTAATAATGATGATGATGATGATGATGATGATGATGATGATGATGATGATTATGATGATCACGTTATAACAAGTTATGCATACACAACCTAATGCTTTATATTCCATTGTTATATTTCAGGCATAGAAGTACATTTCAAGAAAGCCAAACCATACCACGGAGATATTTCACCAGACATCAAACCTGACCCCCGGTCAGTTCTCATTGCGACTTTACGTCTTGCCCGTTACACCGAGGAAAAGTTTGCTGAGCTAGAGAAGTTGGCGCAGCAAGTAAATGAGAGGAGAGAAAAATTGCATACCCTTGATTCGTGGTAAACAGATTTTTCATATAAATATGCTATATCACCAAATTATTCGCTAATTATTTTACAAATTTTCCAATTATCTTATTCATGAAAATATTCACATGATGTCTTCATAAATAATACATCTTTATCTGTCAGAAACTTTCATAATTTAACGAAACAGAATAAACTTTCGACAACTCTTACTTTCTTATCTGTTAATGATTCATTCGAGTTATTTACCTTGTCATATTTAGCCATGTGTTGCGCTATTTTTATATACGTATCTTTTTTGTTCTTTTCAGAGCTCACACCCTGAACATCTGAAATGAGCTGGCAGTTTTTTTTCTACATTTGTATATAATTTTATTTGTTGATATCCATAAATTATTTTTTCTGCCAAAATACACTTCTAGTATTGTTCGATTTCTGTCTTGACTTATTTTATTATTTTCTATTTCTTGTATGAAATAAATTTCATTTAAAATAGTTTGGCCATCATTTGCTGTCACTCAGCAAGTGTGATTATAATGCACGTATGCCGTTTCATATCCTGAAACGTATGTGTTTCCTATCAACTAATAACCACGCCCTACCAAACCAAATCACGTGCTCAGTATCCAGGTCTAAAAACGACAGAATGTCAATATATGAGCCGCGTCACGACAAAACCAACATAGTGGATTTGCGATCAGCATGGATCCAGACCAGCCTGCGCATCCGCACAGTCTGATCAGGATCCATGCTGTTCTCCTACCAACTCTATTATAAGTAGATAAACTGATAGCGAACAGCATGGGTCCTGATCAGACTGCGCGGATGCGCAGGCTGGTCTGGATCCATGCTGGTCGCAAACCCACTATGTTAGTTTTGTCGTGACGTGGCTCAATTATAATTACATGAAAATAGAGATATAAATAGTTGCACATGAGCCAAAATTTCTAGTTATAAACGCTAGACTTGTTGAGTCCATATTTCATTCTTACCATGTATATCATCATGGGTGTTACTTTTCTTACTCATTCTATTTTTATGATTATATAATTATTAAGGTAGACTGACACAAACAAACGAAAATAAAATTCATAAGACGTATTTGAATGGGTATAAACATTTAAAATTGTTTAAACTCGGCTAATCAAATGGGCGAAACTTTGATGCTAGCAAGACAGACAGTGATACTTAAGTAAAATGTGATGTTTATTGTTTATTTAAGAGCAATCGCAAATTGTCGGCCTTTTCCAAAGAAATATAAAAAGAATTATTATCATTGGCACAGTGCACACAAACACAATTTATTTACTTATCCACCACTCCCTTAAACAGAAACGGATTTTACTAGTCTTGGAAGCCATTCTGTAAAGAGAAAATATACGCCTGTTTGAGCATTTGAAAATGACACTACACTACATACTGGAAAACTTGTGCCCAGTTAAATAAAGAAGATCTCAAAAACTTGCTTGAGTAAATAGATCAACGTCCAAAAGGAGCTAACTTTTAAATCCACATTTCTTATAAACTCAGAATGATATTAATTTTAAATTACGCAAGTTTTGCCTTTTATCATGCAGGTACAATTTCGTAGTCGTAAAAGTAAGCTTTACGAGGGATGTCCAAAAAATTCGTGCACTGCAGTTATTGTCCTGAGAATTCTTGATATAAAAACATTAATTAAACATCACTTGAAGGGGCGATCTGTCTCGAATGAGAAAACAAAAGAAAAAACGTGTAACCGGCATGTCGTGAAAACGAATCGTGATACAGTTACCTTGGTAACGTAATACCGGCGCACGACAAAAAAGTGGGTTAGTTCATTACATTGATGCTTCACGGTATTTTTAAAACACAATATATAAGCGTTAAAATTCAGGGAAAAGTATGTGTACGTATTCCAAATGTCACTATAAAATATTACGTCATTTGCCCTATTGAAATGTCGTAAACAAACATTTGTGTGAGGTCGTCAATATTGTAGTTACGTAAAAATGTCAGTCGCTAAACGTCTGGAAATACGGACGATCATTACATTTTGTGCAAATATTGGTAAAACACAAACAAATACCTACAAAGAACTTATAAGGGCAAGCGGGGACAAGTTCAGTGTCACTAAGGCTGGTTTTTAAATGGCACAAACGCTCTGTAGAAGGGAGAGTGTCGGTAGACGATGACAACCGGTCAGGCAGACGTCCATCCACAATTCCGGACTATGTGACGAGGGTTGTCCGATATATTCGTTCACTGGTGGGATATGTTACATGTCTGTTGCATAAGAACAATAAAAACTACAACATACTATGCATCAATCATTCCTCTTTTGACAGTAAAACAAATTATAACATAAAAAGCCAATGCCACTTTACAAGCAACAAACAATTAATACAATTACAGAAATGAACTAACCCAATTTTTTGCCGTGCGCCGGTATTACGTTACTAAGGTAACTTAATGACCATTCTTTTACAAGACGCGCCAGTTACCCGGCCTTTTCTTTTGTTTTCTTATTTGAGACAGATTTCCCCTTTAAGTGATATATAATTCATTTGTTTTTATTAATAACTCTTACGACAATTACTGCTGTGCACGAATTTTTTGGACAACCCTCGTACCTGTTTCTTGATTTTTTCACAAATGCTCATTGACCTGCGTTTAAAAAACGTAAACTTGCAAAATTACACGATGTTACAGATCTAGATATATCTACGTTTTCTAGCCATAGATTGTTTCGTTATAGAAATGTTTCGTTATAGCAGGTTTTTTTTTTTACTTTAAAGACCCTGGTTATAGAAAATAGCCGTAAACTAAGGTTTAAAGGGGAAAAAATGAACTGAATGTGGCCTACGGTTAGAATTCATATAGATGTATATTTCTAGAATATTTCTCAGATTCAGTATGCTAAAAATAACAAACAGTTAAAAGAATCCTTAATCCAGCACTATAGAGTCTTATTTAGCTGTTGATTTCATAACCCAAACTGTCATGAATGCACTTGATATATGAGCCGCGTCACGACAAAACCAACATAGTGCGTATGCGACCACCATGGATCCAGACCAGCCTGCGCATCCGCGCAGTCTGATCAGGATCCATGCTGGTCGCAAACACACTATGTTGGTTTTGTCGTGACGTGGCTCATATAATTAAGTGTAACAAGAATGGTATAAGCCTATATTATGACAGTTTAATGCACTAACTGGCTATCAAACTGCGCGGTCATCAGGTATTTGGTTTATTGCTTTACATCACGGACGAGAAAGTGTTTTGATATCCGTTTTAGACAAAATGCATGTATTGAATGTTTAGACGTCCATAGCTTTATTCTGAGATATTTTTGTCCTAGGTTCTAGATACCTGGGACTTAAAATTTTAAGTTTTAGTAGATACAGAAATGTATATAAAATAAGCTGAAGTATAATTCGTCGGAAATATCAGATTATGCAAGGCCTTTCAAAAAAAGGTCATCGATTTGGTAAAATTTACTACAAACTTCTAAAAATATTTTGCAACTGATAAATGCACGAAAACCTAGATTTATCGATAAATATTTTTGGGGACACACTGTTGCCATCACCAGCGGTGCAGTCAAGCGGAACGCTGAGCAGCGAAATCACGTGACAGTAGCCTGTTTGTTTACAAATAGGGATGGGACGTATCAATTAAGAGGTTTACATAAAACAGTTAAATGGAAGATATGAAAAAGTTCGGGGATTCTGATTTGATGGCAACACAAAAGCGGCAGGGGTGGCAAAGAAGCCCAACGATGAAAGAACAATGTGAGTTACATTTTATTGCTGTTTGTAAAGTTGTCAAAAGTAATTAACTAGTTCTACAATTTTTCTGTCGGCGTCCTATTTCGTACATAAATTTGCTCGAACCGTGCGTGTATGAGGTAAACAAGGTATATATACATGATTATACTCTTTTTATTAATATATCAATAATATTTTTATGAATTTACTTTTCAACTTTCTATACATATAAGTATTAGCTTGGTTGGCATTTTATTTATTTAATTCAGTTTTGTCTGGTATTTAATTGTTTTCATATAAGTTTGGGATAAGAAATATATCTTCTGATAAAAATATATATAAAAAGGATTAGTTTTGAAATTTAAGTACATGTATCTAATTTGCACTGAAAAAGTTTGAAATTTAAGTATCAAATTTGCACTAAAAAGGTATATGTGTTTATTTTGCCTCAGAAATTCAAAAATCTTTAGAAAGTGTAGTTTTATTGATTTTTTAAATGGTTTTAGAAAGATATTTACCTGAAGATAGTGGGAATTTGTAATAAAAGTAGCAAAATGTAAACTAAGTTTTTTTTTTGACTTCCATACAAAAATAATGAATTTTTCTAGTATAACTGTACTTAAATTGCCAAAAAGCTACAGATGCAAAAGATGTTTCAGGTAAATATACCAATAACTTTTTTAAAAGTACATGTATAACACTGGAAACTGAGACTAAAAAAGCTGATAAGGAATAGAAATAATACCATTTCTGAACCATAATGGGTCCCTTATACCAGAAGGGTTGCCTTTAAAGTGGTTGAGGCATAAGAATTGCAGCCACTGTTTATCCCTGTGTGATCGTAATAGGCAACTTAATGGGATTGAATACCTGGAGTCTATGCACTTCTTAGCTCCAGCAGGTGATCTTGTTTTGGTTTAAACATATTTATTTAAGCTCGATTGTGAAACAAGTTCTTGCAACTTATATAAATCACTTTCAAGTCTGCTTCCTGGAATCAACCAGTACTGGTGTCATATGAAGAAATATGGTCATGACCCTGTGAGGGCTCGAACCCATGGTCCATGGGTTGAGAGGCAGACACCTTAACCACTAGGCCACTGCTTTCCTTATTTTGGGGTGGTTTTCATCCCTCAGGTGTTGCTTTGAAGATTGTTAAACCCATGGTGAGCTAAAATCATCCTTCTTGTTTTGGCACCTTATGATGTTGGTGCGTTTCAAACCAAGCAAACAAAAACTAAAGTTTATCTTATATTTAACATCTACTATCTACTAGTATCAATTTATCTAAATTTGGCTTTATCATTAGTGTTGATTTAAGATAATGATCAGATCAGATTGAGATTTATATAAGGAAGCAATTAAAAATTTGATTGGTGAATTTGATCTCTTGATAATTTTTGTTCTTCATATTTATTCAAAACATCTGAGTGATGTTCGTACAATGTAGATAAATTGTGACAATTTTTCAAAACTTTTTTATAAACATCTATAGTTATCCAGCCTTAAATTTACTGCTTTAATCATTTGACATTAAGAGCGTACATGGTCGAGTGATCAAGGTCGTTGACTTCGAACCCATTATTTGCCCCGGGCTCACCACTGTAGGTTTGAATGCTGCCAGGGACTTCTGATTCTGTCATGTGAGGAAGCTAGGACTCAACTAGCTTACATAAAGTCAGTGGGTCCACTCAGGTGCCGGCATATGCCTGAAATTATGCATTGAGTGGCAGTCCTGAGGTCTCTTCACCAGTAAAGCTGGAAAGTAACCATTTGACCTCTACTGTGTTAGTGTGATGTAAAACCCATCTAAAAAAAAAAAATCGATTGACTGGGGTATCTGCCTAATGAAGCTAAAAACATTTTCTATACCTCTGCTCTATTGACCATATTGATCAGGGTTTATATTTTCTTCTGTACATAAATAAACCATTATCTGTGACCTATACGTTTGTGATCAATACACCTGACTGATGTTAGTAAACATACCTACAACCTTGTAAGATAGTAAAATTTAAGTTTTTTTAAGGTGACAACATTCCTTACACATTTTCCCCTTCAAAATTTGTAATAGATTTGTCCTAGTTTAACTTGGAATTGTACATTATTAGTTTAAGGGAGTTTCAGGTTATATTTATTATACAAAAAGTCCAAAAATTGTGTATTTGAAAATATATTTAAAAGTCTTGCTAGAACGTATACTTGTAGGCAGGCTAACCTGGCTCTATACTGGTTATGTTTAAGCCTTTAATTCATCTTCATAACTTGAGTGTACAACTGTATTTTATATATGTAGTAAGTAAAATGCTAATAATTAATACTAACACATCATTTCTAATCATGTTGCAAACATTGAGAATGTGCCACTTGGATTTTTCAGTAGTCTGTTTTGTTTTTGTTTTTTTTCTCTGATTTAGTTCAAGCATTTTGCATACCTGTTGAGTAATATTTTGATATCTGATACAGTTAGTTTACATCTGGAGTGTATTTACCTGTGAAAATAAATACTGAACTTTATGCACTGAAGTACCTTGTGTCTTTACCTTTAACCTGCTGAATTTGTATAGAACAGTCCATTCAAAGTGTAAGGGGTTTCAATTATAAATAAGTTACCAACTGTATAATAATTATAGAGCCTGGTAAGGCTGGCCTGGCTCTATAATGCTGGTGGAAATTTAAAAGCCTTTTCATTTTTCGGATCAAACTGGTAAAGCGAAATGTTGATTCATATTTTAGTCATGTAGTAAAACTGACTTATGTATAACATTTGTTGATTTTTGCCATAATTAGTATTGATGTGAAGTTATCTATTATTAAATCTTGTATCATAAATAAAGATTGATTTTTTTCAAGTACATTTATACCATGTATATCCCATATAACCTCAGAGACTTAGAGATTCTAGCTAAAGGCACATTATGCCTTAGAAAAGATTTTTTCATTCTAAAGAAAAGGCATACATGTAGATAATGGTTTCTAAGAGCAACATGTTAGCATGGTTATCACCTGAAGAATGTTAGTGCTGAATGTAATATATTTGTTATAAAATTAACAAATTATAAACAAAGTAATATTTTGACTTCCATACAAAATACTAAATTACTTTAAACAAACTTTCATTCACTTTACATTCCCAAACAAAAAAAAGCAGCAAAAAGATAGTTCAGATAATTGGCCAATGACATACTTTTTGGAGACTATAACAAGACACCAAAAATAAACAGCTTTTGAGATATAAAAATAAAAGCATTTCTGGGGCATTATAATGGGCCTTTAAGAAGAAAAGTACATAATAAAATACATGCATGAAAAAAATAATACATGTAGATCTATATAAATCTAAGAACTCAATCTCTTTTTTGTTTTCTTTTTTTTTTTGTTAAAAACTAAAATTTGAATATTAATTAAATTAAATAATTGATTAAATCATTTTTATTGATAATAAAAAAATACGGTCATGGTGCATGCATCAGAGACTTTACGGTAAATAAATGTTGGAGAATACGGTAATAAAATTTAGTGAACCAGCAGTCGATGCTGATTTGGCACTGCTAGAACAAGATAAATGGCTACAATTAGGAACCAAGCAAGTCTGGGATAATACTTCCTATAATATTTCTTAGAAATATTTTCTAAGATTTAACTCCGTTGATAAAAGCAAAATATTTAATAAAATGGGATAAATATTGGCTATGTAAGCATATTGTAGCTGCTGCTTTCTGTGTAATAATATAAATTATTATTTGATGTAAATTTGTGTTCATTGGATAAACCTTTAAAATCCTTTCTGGACTGTATGTTGTGGATTTATTAATACTCTTTAAAAATGGTGGAACAAGTGTTTTAAGTGTTCCGAAGTTAGGAAAAACAATAGTACATCTTTCTAAATTTCCAATAATTAAAGGAGATTGGAATTACGGTTCCAAAATTTCAATGAAAAAGATATATATTCAACTGTCATTTTTTATTAAAACAAAAAAGAAACAAAAAACGGCTGTGACGGACTGACTTGTAAACTTTTGAACAATTTGGCATTGATTACATATTTACTATCTTTAAAATGGTGTTCAATCTGTATTGTTTAAGCTTTAACGCTCTGTGAATTAGAAATTGAATAAACCATGCTTGAAATTGCATTTATTTATACATTAAATAGCATTACATAATGAATACATAGCAAAAGTTTTGTTTTTTATCATGTTCAATATTTCAAGATAACACGTCACAAATTTATCTATAAATTTAGCCGAAAATTTACGTGTTTAAAATTCTCATGTATACTGAATTTTAGTGAACTATTTATAATTATCAGGAAATTTTGAACTGTACAGAAATTTAGTGACGTATTTTAAGCTAGGTCAGTGCCATTATATTGGACATATGGATTACCAGTAGTTATTTTTGTGACACTAACTTATAATACTGTTTTAATCTTTAACATATTTTGTCGAACAAATATTATGGTCGTTGAATTACCTGTCTATATTTATTTATAGAAATTTTTGTTACATGCTTTTGAATTTTGATATCGAAATTATTGTAAAGTCAATAATAAGCAAAAGAAGTAATCCTCAAACTAGTAAGGGAATATTTGTTTAAATTAAAATACGTGGAATCAAAGTAGTGTTAATGTTTTTATATACAATGTACATGTATGTGTATAAGATACGTATTTGAAGAACCATTTAATAGTATTGAATAATAATTCTTTCTTTGATTAAAAAACAAAAACAAAAACGCATCAACATTCGGCTGTAATTGAGCAATGAAAATGAATAAAACAGAAAATGGAAATAAGCCTAAGAAGAGAAATTCGAGGGTTTCGTTCAAGTTGGACAATATCGAGGTGGGAAAAGAAAGTGAATATTCGGATGATAATAATGTGATATCATCTGATGATAATTTGGGTGTGAGTATAGATGATGATATCAAGGTGATGATGTCACATGACAAATACATCGATAATTCTGATGATGATGATGAAATAAATGACATTGGTGATTATTTAACTAATAATATCATATCTGTAATGGACAGATCAAAGGAAAATGGTATAAAGAAGGAAATCGGTGGAGTTATTTATGAATGTCAAACTACTGACCTACACAAAAGACATGCATGTTGTTACAGTAAGTATCGAAACAGTCATAAATATAATAGTTTGGGAATTTATTTTTTTTCAAAAATGCATGCCAGTGCCAGTGAATAGTGACTCATCAACAGTGATGCAATTCATCATTTTTAATCAGGGAGCTTTGGTTCATTTTGGTTAATTTTACATTAAAATTGTATACCCGTAAAAAAGGTAATTTCCTTAACTCATCTTCTGCTACATTCGGCTAAAACACCCTTATTTGTGGCTTTTATTATCAGTTCCTCAAGAAGTTAAAAGCATTAATTTGAGCTTTTAAGATAAACCCAAGGTGAAGGTCACTCCTGCTTTAAGATAAAAGTTCAATCAACTTTAATGTTTCAACTTTTCCTCAAAGTTTATCAATATTTATATAAAGCTGTGTCAAAGGGCACAAATTTGATGGGAAGCAAAAATTTGAACGTCACCACCGAAAGAATGATATGAAAGAATGATATTATTTGTTTTTAGTTGAATATATTTTTAATATCTTCTGAGTCACTGCCGTGTCTACTTGCTATATCATAAGATCCTTAAATTTTCAAATTTTCATTTCAAATAATATAGTTTTACTGAAGCTCAAATATGTCAAATGAAATACATGATTTTTATCTCGGATAAAATACAGTACTTAAACAATTGATGCGTATAGGGGCCTCATTTTCAACCAAATATTCAGTCTCATATTCTGATACTTCCATGAAATTTAATATCCTGATATATTAAGTGTTTATTGATGTTCATGGGTCAGGTGTAAAAGGTGTAATGAATGTCATGTACCTATAGATAAGTATAGTAATTACTGGTAATTAACTATCTGTATACAGAGCATGTATGTATTCATGATTTGGGATAATGTGTCAGCAGGGCATTCACACTTGATTACAGCTTTCACACTTGAATTATTTATAGCAATGTTGCTTTCACACTTCATTAACTATAGAATGAAAAAAGGCTGTTTAAGTTTGTATTTAACATTATGCACGTACATGTAAATAATTATAATTCTTCAATTTGCGCATCCATCTCACTGTCATGCTGTCACACTTACTGTCTGTCTGTGGTCAACAAAACAGTGGACTTATAATGGGGAAGTCTGTGTTATGTGAAATATAATAATATCCATGTCTATTAGACTTAAGTTTCAATAGATAATTTCAGTAACACTAGCAGTGCAAGCGCGGGTTTTTCCATCTCATTATCGGGTACAAACTTTCACTGTTGACGCTTTATGGTATACTACATGTAGTATGGATTATAAATTGAATTTATCAACATGTGAGCCACAAAACCAAATTACATAGTGCGTTTGCAACCAGCATGGATCCAGACCAGCCTGCGCGGAGCGCGCAGTCTGATCAGGATCCATGCTGTCGCTTACAAACCCTATAACAAGTAGAGAAACTGATAGCGAACAGCATGGATCCTGATCAGACTACAAGGGATGTGCAGGCTGGTCTGGATCCATGCTGGTCACAAACCCATTATGTTGGTATTGTCATGGCGCGACTCATGTTATGTTTGGTTTTGATATACTAGATTACCAGGTTGTAATTGTAAAATTTTTAGTTTGTTTAAACCCCTTGTTTAGATGAGAAAATCCCACATATTATACCAAGTTCCATAATTATCTATTTATATTAGGTCTACCATAAAGGTGTCCAATAAATTACCATAATACATACACTTAGGCCATTCATTAGGTGTACAATATATAAGTATGTTCAGTAGGGGTCACAATAAGCCATACCATAAGTTGTTACAGCTAAAATCTTTTCGACTGCCACTCTATCCAAAATGACAAGTAATAATCTTGTATTTAATTGTTATATGACCATTATATTGTACCCAATGTCATGACCTCATATGACACTGTAGTGATTAATTAATACAAGGTGTCGTGTTTGAAGAATGGTTTCTATTGAATTTTGGTGTATTATGCTCTTACTCTGCTATTATACTATATAAACATTTACACCCAGTGTGTAAGTGACCACTAACTATACAGTATTTAAATTTGTAGCCGATAGGACAGTTGATATTTCATTCATAGTTCATTCAGTCTTGCGGTGTAGTGATTTTTCTGATTGTTATTTTTCCAATGGAACTGTTTGAATAAAAGTTATTGACTTAAATGATCTATTCTATAATGTAAAATATTTTTAAAGCAATCGTGTGTAGGATTGAATAGAGAGGTTGATTTGAATCTTTACGTAACTTGTACATGGACATTTTAAAGTTGTATGTTGAAAAAACTGGTATTTCTTGGACTTCAGTTTGCTGGGATATATTTAATTATATGAAATTATTGTTTATTGAATGTATATGTTTTGTGCATGATAATAGAAAACAAAAAATATTGTTTGGTTTGTTAATTATGATCAGATGATGTCAGAACACCTTGCTGATGACTATAAAATTCATGAATAATTAGGAAAACTGCTTTTATCAATTATGAAAAATGTGTTAATGAATAAGAATAATGATATTCATGAATTAGGAAAATTGCTCACAAATTTTAAAAGCTATACTATATATGCTGATGTATTCATGAATTTTGAGAATTAAGTGTGTTCATATTTCAGGAATGTAATATAATTTATGAATTAGGAAAGTAAAAATTGTGTTCATTTGAATTGTGTTCAGAAATGAAATGATGTAAGTCATCAAAGATCAATTAGATAAAGTCATGCTTTCATCAGTTCATATATCAGTATATATTCATGGTTGAGTAGATCGTGCCAGTACGTGTTTTTTAAATTTCTCATAATCAAATCATAAATGGAGTTACCTAAGGATATGGAAAGAACCACTTACGGACAATGGATGACCCAACTAAAATGTAAGTTTTCTGTTTAAAGACTTAATTGACTGATAAGTGATTAACTTTTATCAGTTTCATAAATTATTTTATCACAAACAAGTTGAGTGCCGATTACATGTAATGTGACTCAGTCAAAACTGTATTGAAAAGCCGGTGCAAATATTTTGACATTCAATGATGCGCTAAAATGTTAGCAATATATGTAAAATTTACAAAAAAGGACATTTTCGGAAATTACTGAATACAAGCACGATTTTTTTTAAGAGAGATATAATATGATTATTACCTATATATACTTGCAATGTTTGTTTTAAAATGGGATGATTTGTAAAAAACAACATAATTATTATGATACTGAAAAATATGAGGTCAGAGGAGACTGTGACCTCCTTTTCATTCTTATTCCTATAAAAATATACATATTCAAGTATGATACCTTTTTTTTATAAAAGATATTTTCATATTCTAGCAAATAAGGGATCCTTATAGTACATTTTACATAATTACAAGATGTCAAATTTTCAACATTGTAATTCTATAGTTTGAGATACGTACTGAATTCGACACCAGTCACCAAATTTTAATGGCGATCTCAGTATATAGTATATATTAATTTTGATTTAGATACTTTTGGGTGCAATGTTAATTTTAGAACTAAGTCAATGCTAAATTTATGTACCTATAATTCCTGATTTATACACTTATGTTTCCTTATTTAGACTTTTAGATTTTTCAAGATTCGAATTTAAAACCATATGTATATATAGCATTCTAGATTTAACTTGAAATCATAACGTGCACCAATTTATGCATCACCATCAATTGCTATGTAGATTTAATTATGTATGATGTTATAATACTTTATCTGTTGTTAATTTTATGAATTGTCTAACATTTTATGACACCTAAGGTTGCAATTGCCTAGAATTTATGATATCCTAGGTTGCAATTTTCTAGATTTAATGACAACTTAGGTTAACCATTGTCTTGATTTTATGACATCTTAGATTTTTTGAATTGCCTAGATTTTATGACACCAGTAGAATGCATTTGCCTAAATTTTATGAATTCTTTAAGTTTGCAGCCTAGATTTTATGACACCTTAGATTGTAATTGCCTAGATTTTATGACACCATTATAGTGAGAATGCAATTGTGTAGATAATAACAACTTCCTGTGTTAAATTTTATGATTTCTTATGTTGCAATTCCCTAGATTTTATGACACCTAAGGTTGCAATTGTCTAGATTTTATAATTTTCTTGGTTGAATAAAAATAATGAGTTTTATAATTTTGTAGATTATAAGAGCTTGATTAAAAAACATCATTAGCACTAATGCCTCGATTTTATGACATTGATATGATAGTAACTGCCTAGATTTTATTACCTGTGACATTTGCCTAGAGAATGAGACCTCAATAAAAAAGTGTTTAATCAAATGACAATCAAGCAATTGCCTTGATTTATGACAAGATTTTATCACCAGTCATCTTAGATGGTAGCAATTGTTTTGATTTTATGACATTAACCAATGATTTGATTTTATTGACATTAATAGTTGCAATAAATTGCCATGAGGAGGCATCGATCCGTGGCCAAGTGGTTAAGGTCGTTGACTTCAAACCACTTGCCCCTCATCACTGTGGGTTTGAATCCTGACAGGGACTTTGCATTCTTTCAATTTTAGTGTGGAACCTAGCTAGAATACGGAACAAAGGTGGTTCTACTGAGGGTCACTGCCTGTTTGTGCCTCAAGTAATGTATGTAAGGGCCCCTGAGAATTTCCTCCACCAGTACAGCTGGAATGTCCCCATATGACCTACACTCTGTTGGTGTGACGTAAAACCCAATCAAACAAACTAACAAATTGCCATAATTTGGATTGACTTAATAAAGCAATGACCATTGTCTTTGGATTTAAGCTGCTAAGAGATTTGTGTACGAATTGGAGGGAAACAAATAATTTAACAACCCATGAAGAGTTGAACATTTCAAATCTTTACACTTAGATTACATAAAAACCATAGCATCAAATGATAATACATTTTATCTGATGAAGTCTTGAATGCCCATCTTTCAATTGAGTACAATCCATTCAAAGTTTAAAGAATTCAAGAATCAAAAGCACAAATTGAGTTTCTACCATATCGGCAACAGGCGTACCTAAGAGCCTCAGGTCAGACTGCATAGATATGCAGGCTAGCCTGGCTTCATTCTGGTGGCAATTAATTATATAAGGCTTTTTGCTTTGGTTCTGGCAAGCTATAAGGGTTTAAATAACTTAACAGTTTGCTTAGACAAAATATTTTGATGTGCCAAAAGCTAGATTCTAAGATTTTTTTGTTCTGGGTCCAGAGGGGAGATAATATATAAATATAATTGCCCATACACCAAATAGCACAGTATCTCAATGCATAGTACCAACAGTTTTGAAAAACTTTCAAGTTTTAAAACAAGGGACATTATAAGTAACTGTTTACTTTTTAAAATTAGAACACGCGTCAGTCTTGTTTAAAACATTAAGTCAATAGATAAACACATTTATCATAAACCTGATAGTAGATTAGCCTTAAAGTATTGTATTTTGTATTTAACAATGATCTAAGCAGCCTGATTATGGAAATAGCTGCGTGTATATTTTAATGCTGAAATGTTTCAATTTTTATAAAGGACGCATTGAAGGTTTTTTAGTCCTTTGATTGATCATATTTGTTATCGATTTTAAAAGAACAAACTTGAATTTGGATGTTTTTAAGTGAAGTTAAGTCAGTACTGTGTACATGTTTGTTTTACTAGTGAGATATATAGATAATGGTTAAAATTAGATTAAACAAAGTGTTGAAATCCTCGGATGACTGAAAGAGTTAAAATTGTTTTTTTAAAACAATTTAAAAAGTAGGATTACTTTTAAGTCAAGCTATCAGAAAATGGATTTTTTTATTAAAATTAAACATCCACCTAAAAGTTAGTATATTTTTCCTTAGTTAATGTATTTAAATGTTTGTAAGATTATGTTTCTAGATTAAAATAATCCACATAATACTCTAAACAGTATGAAGTATGTTCTGATATAAGTAGACAGTTTGACACCCTCTTATGGTCCTGATGTCACTTGTTTTGCTGAAGTTCTTAAAATCATTAACACTTAATTAATAGAATGATTTTCTTCAATTTGCTTAATTATCTTCCGTTTATATGAACTGTTACTGACAGTTTTATCAATTTTTGGGGAATTTTAATAGTTATGAGACTTAGTTTTAAGTTAATCAGCAGGTTTCAGCCTGAAGTGCCGAGCCTGTCATGGTGACACTGCACCTCTTGACTTTGACATGATCAGCATTTAGAGTTAATCCTTGTTGACCTCGCGTGTGTTTTATATTTAGATAGGACTCTCTACCTTGTAGAGGAATTAACATAGATTAACCTTTATAATTTATTAATTTAATAACATCTTTTAATAGCTGAGCTTAGCAGCTTTTTAAGGAGATTGACATGGTGCAATGACGGGTTATATCTCTTATTGAATTTTAATTGTAAACCCATTACTGCACTAAGGTGACGAAATATAAAGTAATGAAAATGGTAATGCATTTAATATATTGATCTTGAAATGATCTGTCTTATGTATCTATGTAATTCGAATTTCTTAGAATTGTTTTCATTTTAGTGGGGTGCCCATGGGGTTCAAATCACTAAGTCCTTACTGCTGTGTGTTCAAATCCCGCAATTGTCCTTACTGTAGTTACTTCAAATCCTGCCAGGAACTTTGAACTCTTTTTATATGATGAAGCTATCCGACTGAGCTAACAGAATGTTTGTGATTCTTCTCTGCTGGTGACTGTTCCTGCCTGAAATAAAATAAATGCGTGAAGGGGCACCTGAGGTCTGCCTTGATCCACCAGTAAAGCTGGACAGTCGCTAAATGACTTATGATTTCAGAGTTGGAGTGTCTTAAAACCCAACGATGACAAAACTCTTCATTTTAGTCTCTTGACCAAGTGTATAACTCCTGATAGAGTGTTATCATGTTATATGAAAACTAAATGTCTCAAATGTTTATCCTCAGTGTATATATGTGTGTGTAGAAGGGTTGTGAGTTTTGAACACCATTTTGTTTACATCAAGACATAGAATCCTTAATATCTAATCTCTTTTCCAATTGACATTATTATTGTAATCAGATAATTATACACCTCTTCAAGTTCATGACATGAACTCTTAAACAATCATAAGTGGATGGTCAAGTATACTCCAGGAAATACTTGAGATTTAAAATTTCATAGACAACGGTTCATGATTCCTTCTTCATATTATGTAACATTCTCTGAAATTTTTAGCATTATCTATGTATGTAACAAGAATTTTTGTAACAAAATTTTGTTTTTGCTGAAATAGACTTGTTTTTAGTTGCTTGTACTGGGAGAGAGCTAATTGCTAATGGGAACCGATCCTTTTGTTATTTGTTAACTTTAATTGGTAGAAACCTGTTTCTGTGAATATTTGTATGTATATAATTAGCAATAAAATATGATTAAACTCAACTTTTTGTCTCGGATTGGATAGTATTTTTAATCAAAGTAGTTAAATTTAGCTGTTTGATTTTAAATTCTAAGGGTCTCGGGTCAGACCGCTTCAATATGCAAGTTGGTCAGACTGCTTCACACAATTGAAAAAAGTTATGCCAAAATCTCAAGTAATTTATTTCTTATTTTTACCTGTTCACTGACCATTTACACATGCATGCGCATTATAAATGTCACTTAAATATGATTCTTTCTTATATATTTTCAGTGGATGCCTTACTCCGGGAGTTGAGTAATGGTGCTATGCTGCATAAGATAAAAGGCGGAGGGATTCTATACACTCGACAGTTCTTTCTCGACAGCAAATCACTCAAACTCTCCTATACAGGCTCACAGAGACGGTTCCGCAAGAAGAGTACTTCGTGTAAGTTCAGACTAATATTTCTACTCCCTTACAACATTGTATGTACAAAACACAGAAGCAAGTATTTTTGTGTAATGCTGATGATGTAACCTGTTTCGAAATGTATAAATGTGTAATTTTGATCAAGATGCAAGTATCCTAGCTAAATTAGCTTTATAGTGTCAGTTTTTATGCTTGCGTAATTTTGTGGTTGTACAGATACTTTATGCCTGATCAGCATTTTTTTACCAAATGTATCTAAATTGTTTGGCTACCAAAATAGATTGTTTTATAGAAATGAGGAAATCCACGGTTAATATGATTATTGTGAAATTATAACCTATATAATTATAATGTTAAAAAACTTTTCATTAATAAGTATAAAGTTATTGTATGGAAATGAAATTAAGTACAGTACAACAATGCAATAGAGAACACTCACTTATTGTCAAATATATAAAATAATTATATAAAAGTTAAAAACTTTTGCTTATTAACTGTAATTTTTTTTAATTGCTCTACATTTTGATCTTCAGGGCTTAAAGTCTGAGGTTCAAAGTCAATGATTTCCACATTGTTAGTTAAAATGCAGTCTGGAACATTTACTTCCTTTATAGATACAGATGCTATATATAATTAGACTTCTTTAAGGTTATTTGGTCTATACTTGTAGAATCCCATTGAATCTTTAGGGTACCAGTAAGTTTGGAAGTAGGTTACAACAATGATTGAAAGTTTGGGTACACCAGGTTAAGTTTGAAAGTTGGGATACCAGTTATTCAGTTTCAGTTTTAACGTTGTTTGTGACCACGATGATGTGGCATAGAGACTAGTATTGTGTGACTAAATAATAGTATCATATCAGATAAACATTTATTATTGTTATAACTTTGTGTCCTTTTATGTCATAACTGAATGACCCAAACAGTCAAAAAAGCAGGATGCTTTATTTGAATATGTATAATATTGTCAATCATGGTTTTTATCACTTATAAATTGTTACAGGAGATATAATATAACTATCCTTTATCTGAATATCTCCCAGAAATATCTGAATATCACCCAAAAAATGTCTGAATTAAAACACCTAGAAATATCTCAGTATCTGAATATCACTAAGAAATGGCTGAATTAACTACCCAGAAATGTCTAAATATCACCAAACAAAAATTTGCTGAATATTACCAAAAGATATTTGAATAACTCCAAGAAATATATGAATAACACCTGTGAATGTCTAAATATCACCAAAAATTATCTGAATATTGCTCATTTGAATTTCTAAATAATCACCAAGAAATTATATGAAGAAGGATCTGAATATTTAGTAATCATTAGAGTCAACTATGTAGTCAGAAGTTAAGGAATGCTTACTAAACTTGAAGCATTTAAGTAAACAAACAAATTTTTTACGAAAAGACTTTCCTTTTCAATTTTTAGAAACAAACCTAAAAAGACAATGACAATTTCCAGTTTATTGTTTATTTTTTATGTACATGTATGTTACCTCTGACACGCCGAAATGTTGGTAATTTATTAAAGGGAATTAAAGAATTTGCAGTTGACTGCTTATTAGCTCGACTTTTTTTTTTTTGAAAAAAAAAGTAGAGGTATTGTTATAGTCAGGTCGGCGTTGCCGTTGCCGTTGCCGTCTCCGTTGCCGTTGCCGTTGCCGTCCGAAAACTTGTACCTGGATCATAACTTTTTTATTTCTTGGTGTATTGTCTTCATACTTGGCCACAACAACCCTTGGGACAAGACCTTTCAGTAGACCACACTAACCTTGACCTTCATCCATAAATGACCTTGACCTTCAAGGTTAAAAGTCCAATTTTTGCTTGTTCATGCTGTTATTGGCTGTTACTTTGTTATTTTTGAATGGATTGTCTTCAAACTTGAACATAATAATCTTCAAGGATATCCCTTAAAAATAACCAGTCAGACCTTGACATTCACTCATCAATGACCTTGACTTTGAAGGTCAAATTATTGAAATTTTCATTTTTTTGGCTATTATTGGCTGTAACTTTGTTATTTTTGAATGGATTGTCTTCAAACTTGAACATAATAATCTTCAAAGATAACTGTTAAAAATATACCGAAAGACCTTGACCTTCACTCATTAATGACATTGCCTTTGAAGGTCAAATTATTGAAATTTTCATTGTTTTGGCAGTAACTGACTGTAACTTTGCTATTTTTGAAGAGATAAACTTCATATTATAACAGAACATTCTTAAGGACCAGACCTTGTTGTTTATCAAACCCAAATTTGCTTGGGTTCTTTAATGACCTTGACCTTGAAGGTTACATTACTGAATTTTCTCAGATTGTGCATTTATCGGTGTGTGTGTGTATGTATAGTATATGTATTATATATAAATATATATATAAATGTGTGTGTGTATATATATACATATATGCAGGTATATATATATATATATATATATATATATATAAATATATATATATATATGCATGTATATGTATATATATCAAATATATATATATATATACATGTATATAATTGCGTCATGTTTTTCTATTTTTAGAAATTGCGTCATTTTTTCTATTTTTAGAAATTGCGTCATTGTTGCTATTTTTAGAATTTGCGTCATTTTTTTTTCTTTTTTTAGAAATTGCGTCATTGTTGCTATTTTTAGAAATTGCGTCATTTTTTTCTATTTTCAGAAATTTCGTCATTTTTGTTCTATTTTTAGAAATTGCGTCATTGTTTCTATTTTTAGAAATTGCGTCATTGTTTCTATTTTTAGAAATTGCGTCATGTTTTTCTATTTTTAGAAATTGCGTCATTTTTTTTCTATTTTTAGAAATTGCGTCATGTTTTTCTATTTTTAGAAATTGCGTCATTTTTTTTCTATTTTTAGAAATTGCGTCATGTTTTTCTATTTTTAGAAATTGCGTCATTTTTTTCTATTTTTAGAAATTGCGTCATGTTTTTCTATTTTTAGAAATTGCGTCATTTTTGTCTATTTCTAGAAATTGCTTCATTTTTTTCTATTTTTAGAATTTGCGTCATTTTTTCCTATTTTTAGAAATTGCGTCATTTTTTCTATTTTTAGAAATTGTGTCATTGTTGCTATTTTTAGAAATTACGTCATTTTTGTTCTATTTTTAGAAATTGCGTCATTTTTTCTATTTTTAGAAATTGCGTCATTGTTGCTAATTTTAGTAATTGCGTCATTTTTTTCTATTTTTAGAAATTGCGTCATTTTTTTCTATTTTTAGAAATTGCGTCATTGTTGCTATTTTTAGTAATTGCGTCATTTTTTTCTATTTTTAGAAATTGCGTCATTGTTTCTATTTTTAGAAATTGCGTCATTTTTTTTTCTATTTTTAGAAATTGCGTCATTGTTTCTATTTTTAGAAATTGCGTCATTTTTTTCTAGTTTTAGAAATTGCGTCATTTTTTCTATTTTTAGAAATTGCGTCATTGTTGCTATTTTTAGAAATTGCGTCATTGTTGCTATTTTTAGAAATTGCGTACTGTTGCTATTTTTAGAAATATGCTTAATGTTTCTATTCATATATATACAAAATATATAAACAAAACTAATGTGACAAGACAGACCAACTAAATTTATAAAAAGGAAACATCAATATATGTTCAAACCTTTCTATGTTTGCGTTTAGAAAAAGTAAAAAGTCGAGCGTTGCCCCCGCCCGGCGGTGGCTCTTGTTTTTTACTAGGTACAAAAATTGTAAAATATTTATAAAAATGTTGATGTCAATTCTTAAGTATCCTAAAATTAATTCAGTCATTTAAATTCTGTCAACAGTAAATTGTTTTAAACAGTTTGTTCCCTGAAATGGAACTTGTCTGGGATATTTCTTAAACAAAAAAAATTACTCTAGCATAAATCTTGGGATAATTTAATAATATCTAGGATATAAAACACACATTTATATATGCATTTTATCCAGGAATGTATGTATATGATAATATAATTATGTGCATCTGAATTTATGTAACTCAAAACATAAACAAATCACCCATGTTCCTTAGCTAATCTGGTATTTCTATTTTATGTTTTTGATTAATTTTGTAACAATAAATGGACCCCCTGCAATTGTTTGTGTACTATCAGGGAAAGGCAACTTATCTGTTATCTCTTAAAGATAGTTCTTTAATGAATTCTGAGGGGTATTTCTTAAATATAATTAATATACTAGAACTCCATGATATACCAGTTTAAGTCATACAATTTAGTAACTGAAAGTTACCAGATGATTTAAATCAAAACATAATCAGAATACATATATGTGCATATACATATAATATTCAACCTATGACATCATTCAGTAATTAAGACATATCAACATGTAGAGGGAAAAGATGTGCATTTATTTATTTAGCAAGCTCAATATGTAATGCAAACATCGAAGTGGTAATATTCTTTTTACAGTTTGGTCCTCAAGAGCATGAAAAGAAGGAATTAGATTAAGCTCAATGACTGAAAGTCAGCTGCCATAAATGCCATTTGGTTTTTTCAGTATATGTCTTAAGGGTTATATAAGTGGAATGTAGTTTGCACTTGACAGTACCGACTATGAACAGGCTGAATCAAACAGAGCCTGCAACATTTTCAATTTTGTCATTTTAGACTTTCTTCAGGGATTCTTATGATCTCTATTTTATACATGTACATGTATATCTTAATCTGATTTTTTTCTTCTTGAAGGGGCACTATCATCAATAGAAGAGATAAGAGAAGGAGAAAAGGACTACGCTAAACGTCTTGATCACCATGATGTAAGTAAAAACATATCTCCTTCGATCTTAAATTTAGCCTTTTACCTGCTGGAACCCGAAGTGAGTGGCCTTTGCCACCAGCATAGAGCCAGACTAGCCTCAGAACATTTGTGCTGTCTGACCAAGACCTATACTGTTTGCTGACCTTTTAACCTAGAGATCCCTAAAAGTGATAATGGAAAGCTCCACTCAGAGATGGAAGCTAGACAAGTCCATTGAAAAATATCAAATTAAGGGATAAAATCATATCCAATGATTGCATATATTTATGTATATATAGAAAGAGGATAATGATATGTTACTCGGGCAACATTATTAAATTCTATGTCCCCTACACTTATAATTGTTTTGTCAGTCCTTTTTTGTATCACCTGCACTCTACTCTGTATTGTAGCTTGTTGGTCATCATACTTGGACACTTTTTGAATCTAATATATGCGTCAACCAGACCTCGGTAAAAGTGGGTTTTTCCCCCATCTTATCCTGGGGTACAAACAAAAGATTTTTCTATTAAAGCATCATGATGCACTACCTTTTACAATAGAGTGATCCACAATTTACTGTAAAAGTGTGTTTGTACCTCAGGATTAGAAGAGGAGAAAAATCCACATTTGTCATGTTCGGGTTGTATAATTTTACTTCTAAAATGCAATGACATTCAAAGTCAAATTTTAGACTGTTAACAACCCCAAGTACTTATGTGTAATGAAGAATTTTATGTGCATTGTTGTGTGATTGAAATATCTTGTCACTCATGTGCCTTTATAATTGAATTAATTATGACCTTAGATCACTTACTGTCATATTCAATCTAAAAAATATTAAGCTGTATGCTATAATAATAATAATAATAATAATAATAATAATAATAATAATAATATGTGTTAACCCTTTTATAACAGGAAAATTGCATTTAATCCAGGCATTTTAACCAAAATTGTTCATGATGACTATAATTACTAAAATGAAACATAAGTTTTGAAAATGGAAAGTATTTTTGGTATAAATTTGACATAATTATAATTATGATAAATGTCATGAACTCTTGAGTATGTATTTAACTATATATTTATGAAAATGTCATTAAATTTGAAAGATGTAAATTTATATATTTATATACTCAAGGGATTAGTGTCATTGGTTCAAATATCCCTGACTATTGTAAATATTATGAAATATTAAAACAAAGATCAATGAGGATTAGGGCCACATGCACTCAGAATGCAGCCACTTAACCTGCTGGAGTCCCAAAGTGATTAGCCTTTGCCCAGGTTAGCCTGCACATTGCACATCCGTGCAGTCCAACCATTAATTAGTCCAATAATGTTGGTAGCTTAATTGTTGTATATTAACATTGAAATCCCTCAACCCTTGAATGGCCTGTTCAAAAATCAAGGCAGGGCAAAACCATTATATAAATGCATATACATTTTGTATCTGAAAGGGTTCCCAAGATTTCTTGAGTAGCACATTACCATTGAAATTACTTACATTCTTTTGGTCTGTTGAATATGTTTGAAAAATCATCTGGTGTAATGGTGTGCCATAAAACCGAACAAAGCAAACAAAACATTACGGAATTTTATAGGGTCTATACATTATAAAGTTTCCTTGGCTCAAAACGGAGCATACCACTTAAACAAGGATTTTTTTGTAAAATGGCTATCACTTAAACAAGGACTTTTTATAAAAGCAGAGATCGAAAATTCCACTTTTCTGCTCATAAGTATGAGTAAAATTTAAGAGAATTCTATGCAGGACGAGAAGAAAAATGTTGCCTGCATATTGGATTAAGTAGCTACTTGTTCTGCAGGACATGTGACCCTGAAAATAATTTTCGATGCCAGAAAAGACTACTAATATTAGAGATAAATAACAATAAATTAGTTTTTATCAAAATATTTTACTTCAAAGAAGAGAAGAGAACTGAATGTTATTTGTATAGCATGAGGTTGATGAGTAATATGGTGAAATCAAAATCATTAAAGCTTGAATTTTATGTTCCTATTTTAGGCGTCACCTCTAATTAAGACACTGTTTGTAAAATATATACGTTAAAACTCATATTTATGAGCACTTTAAAAATAATATATAATTATGTAAGCAGTAAGTTGCATGTGATGTTACTGTAAATTGAAAAATAAAGTGGTAATTTTGTTTAAAATAGAAATATTAAAGGGTAACGCCTTAAGATGAGTAAAAAATTCTCTAAAGGAAAATGCATCGATAGTTAAAGAATATATGAATTTTCTCAAGTCAGGAGAATCTGTGCTGTATTACATGAAAAAATGACAGAATTGTATAATTATTTGAATCACTAATTCTAGGGGCATCCGTGGTCGAGTGGTTAAGATTGTTGATTTCAAACCACTTGCACCTCTGCACTGTAGGTTCAAGTCTCAAAAGGGACTTTGGATTAATCTTAAATTTGAGCTGCGTCACAACAAAACCAACATAATGGGTTTGCGACCAGCATGGATCCTGACCAGCCTGCGCATCCGCGCAGTCTGATCAGGATCCATGCTGTGCGCTATCAGTTTCTCTACTTGTAATAGGGTTTGTAAGCGAACAGCATGGATCCTGATCAGGCTGCGCGGATGCGCAGGCTGGCCTGGATCCATGCTGGTCGCAAACCCATTATGTTGGTTTTGTCATAACGCGGCTCATTTCATGTGAGGAAGCTATCAAGCTAACTTACAGAACATCAGTGGTTCTACTCAGTGCCAGTCGCCATGCCTAAAATAATGTACAGAAGTCAGCACCTGAGGTCTTCATCCACTTAAGTTAAACTTGAAAGACACCATTACGGCCTAGCTTTTAATTGTATAATGGTTACAGCATACTTATTGTTTATACTGACATTTACTAATGGAATAAGAGAATTGTTTGCATATTTTGATTAAGTTAAAGGTAATAAGTGATTTAGTGGCTTTAAATTATCTCCTAAGTTCGAATCTTGGTAAAATTATTATTTAGTAGAACATATAATTAAGGCAAACGTGATTGTAAAAATTTACACAAATCTTGATAGGCTGCTTTATGTTTGAAATTATAAACAAATAAATAAACAATAATCAATCCTCAAAAAACTGCCATTAAAATGATTAAAGTAAAAATGTTTTTTTTTTAAATCATTAAATTACTGTTTAACTGTTTTTGTAGTCATAAATATCTTAATGATTGGTCTAAAGTATGATTAAAATTGTCATGCTTTAAATTGAAGGTTTATTTTCTGAATCTCATGTCAATTATCTTTATTTAAATTAACAAACTCATTTTACATCAGCTTTACAATTAAATTATACTCTTTGATTTGTGTTGCCTTTGATTGGTGATGATTACTTAAATAGAAATGTTTGTGTACATGTAAATTGGTTTAATGAATAGGTTTGTGTAACTCGCACAATAACTACTTGAAACCGCATTCATGGCCAAAAAAATCCTGCCTTGATAAGATTTTTTTCTTTTCTCAATTTTAAATCTTGTGTTAAGAAAAAATAAATAGTCAAGATATTTTTTTAAGTAGATTTTTTATGAAAATGTTGTGGTTTTTGTTGAAACTAATTTTTATTTTATTTGTTATATGAGTTTAGAATTATACAAATAGGTATAATACATAGTAAAAAATAATTAGTCAACTGCAATTTTTTAAAAAATTTCCTTTTAAATATATCAACGTTTCGGCTGAACAGCCTTCTTAAGGGAACATAAATAAATATTGGTAATAAACAATAAACAGGAAATTATAAACAAATAGGGCATCATTTACAGTATTTAGGTAGGTGATGCAGGTAGAATCACCTTCATCTTCAGTTGTAAATTACGTACCATCTCATCCTTGCATGTAAGAATTCAATAGGCCTATAATGTAAAACTCAACCTGAGTTTATTTACTGTCGACTGTTCCGTTGCCCATTATTGTAATGCCACTGAACAGTTAGTAAATTATAATTCCTTGGTTTTTCAATTATTGAAACACTCAGCTGTTGCCCCTTCCCAGGGTCCATGACCATGTTTCTTTTGCATGTCCATTGGTGAACACCAATACATTGAACCTTGGTTTTTAAAGTCTCATAGGGAAGACAAGTGTAGGAGCTAGTGGATTAAACCTGGCACCCCAGATAACCAGTCAATCACGTTACTACTGGACCAAAGACCATAAATTTTACTGTGAATATGGCTGTAACATACGCTTAATTAGGGTCCAACCACGGCCTTTCAGACACTCAAGAGTACAGACCCCGAAAGTAATTTTAGCCCTTGAAATGCGGAATTGAACCACTGTGACTCTTATCAACTACTCAGGTTTGAAGCCTGCACCCTGGACTTGGTGACTGTAGGTCATTCAGGAATGTTTTGGGGCCATTCAGCATATGACTGTTTTCAATATAATGCTCAAGTAGTGACATTGCCATGTTGGTTTCATAACCAGAAAAATATCTTGATAATTAATGATTAGCACTCTCTATTACCAGCACTGTTATATAACAGAATCTACAAGTAGAGAAATAATTTCAAATACTGTTAATAAAACATCATAAAGTAACATTTTACTTGTATTGTAAGAGAGGTAATATAATTTAAGTGAAGATTTTATTTCCAGTTATTAAAACTATGCTTTATACTTAAAACAGACCGCATAAATTGTAATATGCCACAATTTTAATTTACCCGGACCCATTATGAATCTAAAAAAGAAATTGTGAATAAAAAAGAAATTTTTGGCAATATTTCAATATATCACTTCTATTTACTATTGTATTGTTAGTTATTGGTGTCGGATGACTATGTTGACATAGTGAAAGAAGATCCTTCTTAATGGGTGCATTATAATTTTTAAATTGCTTAGTTCATATTTCAGAAATGCAGATCCTTTAATTTAAAATTATTTTTTTTATAAATTATGTGACCGACTTAATAGTAGCTACAAAAAATCAAAAACATGCAGCACTGAATTGTGAGGAATTTAAAGGGACTCAACATGATAGGACTGGATATAA